AGACTGTCTGTGGCTACGCAGTCCATCCCCAAGCAGGGTTAATGGGAGACTCGGGACACACTGGGGAGGGAGGTATCCCAAGATATGGGTGCCAGGAGCCCGTGTGAGGCAGCTCCCGCAGTGGAACCACGGTGCAGTGAGTCCCCCCGGCTCAGCACTGACGCGTCAATGGCCAGTGAGCACACCGTCAGCATTGCCAGCGCCCCGGCTCGGGGACACGGGCCAGCCCGACTCGGGCCATCAGCCCTCGGCGGGACCGAGCGAAAGAGGGGCGAGCCCCGTGGCAGAGTCCGCGCTGGAGCCGTCGGTGCGTCGGTTCCGCGGGTGCGGCGGGAACCGGGACCGAGCGGGACCAGGACGGGCGGGGCCTGGCGGGAGGGAGAGGGGCCACACGTCGCTGTCACAGACTGAGGGGCGCGGTCTTGTTGATGAGGAGGCGTGGATATGCAAATCATCCTCCACTCGCGGGGGACGCCGGGACATATCTCGCTCTAAGGCCCCACGGCCACGCGTGTCAGCGAGCGCTGCGAGGGACGGACCATGCGAGCCAGTGGGGAACACGGGGCCGAGTGGGCGCGATGCCGGGTCGGCGGTGAGCGTGTGTTAGGGGTGGGTGCGCGGTGCGGGGCCGGTGGGGGTCGGAGTAGACAACTCATACTTACCTGGCAGGGGAGACACCATGATCAGGCAGGTGGTTTTCCCAGGGCGAGGCTCATCCCTTGCACTCCGGGTGTGCTGACCCCTGCGATTTCCCCAAATGCGGGAAACTCGACTGCATAATTTGTGGTAGTGGGGGACTGCGTTCGCGCTCTCCCCTGATTTTGCTGGTGAAAAACAGATCTAAGCAAGACCTTCGGGTGATAACAAGATACTAGAGAGGGAAACTGTGATCTTGCGGGCCGGTCTCCAATGGACGGGGACGTAGCGAGGGACATTGGAGCAGCTGGATGTGGTCCCGCGGGTGTAGGGAGCGAATCCCGAGGTGTCCGGGACCCTCCGAATAGACGGGAAAGCTGTGCGGGTGGCCCGCTCGCCCTCCCGCTTGCGAGGCTCGGAAATAGCCGGGCGTCCTGGGGCATCCAGGGGCGCCCTCTCCGAACAAGCACTGCCGATGCCCGGGAGACGCATCTATATTCCCCTCTGGAATTGGCCAACGGATCCCTAAGCGGTCTCTGGGCTGCGGCGTCTGGAGCCGGGACAATCCCGGCCCGTCCCAGCCCGTGTCTGCACGGCCCGGGAACCACCGCGGGAGCGGCTCCGCGGAGGGGAAGGGTGGGGGAAATGACGGTCCCGTTCCGTTGTTACTTTTAATTAGCAAACAAGAAACTCCTAAGTCCCAATTTGTGAGCATTAGTGGACAGGAGTTATTATCAACACTGGACACAGAGAATTGCTTCTCTAATCTCTGTGTGTCCTGTTCTCTTCAGCGTAGCTAATATTTACGTACAATTTTACGTATAAATGCCCTACATATTCACTACTTTTCTCAGAAAGTTCATTCAGATGTTAATTAGCTCTGAGAAGTTCCTCAGAAGTCCTTATTTGGTCACTCGGATCTTCTGGTGTTCTCTTGGTGGTCTCTCGTGGTCTTCAGGAGTTTGAACTTTCCTTGCACTTGTCCGTTGAACAGCGTATTTACAGCTGGTTACAGAGTACCTTTGTTCAGCATCTCTTATCAAAAACTGGATACTTATGTTACAACTACTCCAACTGAAAGCATTCATAAACTTGCTTATATTGCAGCTGAACCCTGACAGGAATTTACATTATAAAAGCCCGTGGAAAACTACTGAACAACGGAGAATTACTGCCCTCACCGTGAGCACCGCCCGGGTCACAGCTGTCGGGTCCGTAAGCGCTGCCGGACTTCCCGGGGGCGGGAATTGGACGCATCTTGTCCAAACCCAGGTCGGACGAAGTCTCTATCCCCCGCTCCGTCGCACCCGGCGTGAGAGGCTCGGGCCGGGGCCGAGCTCGGGCGCTGCTCGGCCCCTCGGGCGGTGGCGGGAGAGGCGAGGCCGGGCCGGTCCCGCAGGCTCCGCTTTCCTGCCGCTCCCGCACGGACAGAGCCGCGATCGGGAGCGGGCGGTTCCCTGCGGCGGGGGCGGGACTTGCCCGGTGGGGCAGAACCTGAATTTATCAGAGAGTTCCTGAGCGCCGCACTGGTCCTGCAAGTAGTGCCAGGCCTGAGGAGCACAGGGATTCGCCGGATTTTGGGGGCGAGCAACATCCAGGAAACTGCGGGCTCAGCCGATACTATCCAGAACAGCAGCATAGTAGAGTTGCCTAGTATTCTATCTTTTAAACCACTTATCAGGGCAGAGCGCGAACGCAGTCCCCCACTACCACAAATTATGCAGTCGAGTTTCCCGCATTTGGGGAAATCGCAGGGGTCAGCACACCCGAAGTGCAAGGGATGAGCCTCGCCCTGGGAAAACCACCTGCCTGATCATGGTGTCTCCCCTGCCAGGTAAGTATGAGTTGTCCAACCCAACCCCCACCGGCCCCGCACCTCGCACCCACCCCTAACACACGCTCACCGCCGACCCGGACCCGAACCCGTCCGGCCTCGCGTTCCCCACCGGCCCGCACGGCTCCGTCCCTCGCAGCGCCCGCGGACGCGCGTGGCCGTGGGGTCTGTGCGCGAGACGCGTCCCGGCGTCCCCCGCGAGTGGAGGATGATTTGCATATCCACGCCCACGCCTCCGCTGCCCCTCCCCGGGCTCCGCGCGCAGGGCAGCGCCCCCTGGCGGATCCTCCCGAATGGGTTCGGATCCATTGGATCCGTTGGAATGGAGGGAAGCGGGGCTGGCTGTTTAACAGGCGTTTCGTCGGGCAGTTGGTGCCAGGTATTAGGAAGAAATTCGGGAAGAGAAGGAGCATCGTGGACGGTTGTTTCCCAAGTGATGTCTGTAACCACGGGGAAGAGGGACAAGACAAGGAGAAGAGCCAGGTGAAATTCCCAAATCCTTTGTCAGCTGCCCCAACCGACATGCCGGGACAGGGAGGAGGCAGAGGGTGAGGTAGATTCTGGGGGAAAGGCTGGGGAGTAACACCCCTCCAGAAGGATCAGGGTGCCTGTTGCAGACAGGAGGGACGATGGGAAAAGGAGCGTCCCAAACTGCAAATGGACAGAAGGGAGAATCGCAAGAGATGGGAATTATGGCAGAAATTGGGCTGGACTGAAGGGGACTGGTCCTCAGGCCAGTTCTCAGCTTCCAGGTAAGCTGGGGAACGAAACAGTGGATTTTCTAGTGGATACTGGAGCAGCTGATTCCATAGGTCCTGGGGGACCATTAGTAAAAGGAAAGTCAGTGTTGGTGCTGTGAAATTCCTCAGGGACAGGGAATCCCCCAGACCATTTTGCAACCCGTGGAATTCAGGACTGGGAACGTAAAATGAACACATCGCTTTCTCCACAGGCTGAGTGTCCTTTGCCATTGCTTGGGCAGGATTTGCTGTGCAAGTTAAATGCACAGTTGACTTCTCCTCAGGACTCTGTCCTGTTGCATATTCCTCTGGAAAATACATGGAAAACACAGCTCTGCCTGAGGGAAACCTGCAGACAAGGGAATCTCCAATGAAGTTTTAGGTGCAGTTGTACCGTTGGTTTGGGCTCTGGGAACTCAGGGACGAGCGAGAAACACGAGTCTGGTAAAAACTGAACTGAAACCAGGAGTCGAACCAGTAAGAAAAGACCAACATCCCATAAAATGAGGGGCCTGGAGAGGACTGGAACCATTTATAGAGTCATGTTTAGAGTTTGGATTGCTGCCAATCAGAATCTAACACTCCAGTCCTGACAGTGAAAAAGCCTCAATCATCAGGATCTAGAGCAATGTAGGAGTGATGGGAAGGTAATGCCTGGATACCTGATGTTCATGCAGTTATCCCAAATCTCAACATGCTTCTCGCCTCAATCCCAGAGACCAATATGGACTTTGCAATGTTGGGTGTGAAAGACGCCTTCTCTTGTATCCCTGTGGGTGAACAGAATCACCTTGTCTGTGCCTATGAACGGGAAAAGCCAACTCAAAGCAGGGAAATGATATCAAGCCCCTCAAGATTTAAATCTAACTTTGCAATTTTTTTTCAGTTGTTCATCAGTAGCTGCAGCCAGACAGCTGTGATCAACAAATTCCATTGTGAACATCCCACACTCGTTTGATCTTTTGTTTCAGGGAGAAGAGCAGACAATCCCAAGAGCAATGGGCTGTCTGGATAAGAGCCTCCAGAAGTGCTGCCAGCAGGACTGAGCAGTACCTGGGGAAAGGTAATTCCAGCAGTGGGAGATGGTGATCAGTGACCCACTGACCACCTGCTCAGAACGGCCCCTGACTGAAACAGAGGGAAGAGCTGCCCCTGCAGAGGGAGGGTGAGCGTGGGAAGGGAGAGACAGCCAGCACAGAGAGGTTTCAGTGCTAATTGATAACGAGTTGTGTAACCTGTAACCAAGGAACACTGGTGCCTTTGTTTGCTCAAATGTACAAATGCTGATGCTTGGGAAGTGGGGAACGGCCTTGGGGGAACCTCCAGCTCCCGTCTCTGTGCTAACAGTGATAAAACACAGAAACCCCTCACCTCGGGGTGGGAATTGGCGCTGCACTCTGCGAACGAGCCTGTGGTGGGGACAGCAGTCCTGCTCCAGCCCCCAGGACTCAGTGCCAGCGTCAGGGAGCGGCCAGGGCAGGACGAGCCACCCATGCCAGGCTCGGGGCAGTGGCTCCTGGGCCAGACCGAGGGGCTGCAGGACTGGTGTGGGGAGCAGGGGGGGCAAAAGGGGGAGGGGCCTCATGGGAGGAGGTGAGTCCATGCAAACCATTCCCGCTGCATGGGCCGCCGGGACACGTCCTGCTCTAAGAGCCCACGGCCACGCGCGTCAGCAGGTGCTGTGAGGGCTGGGGCCATGCCAGCCTGGGGGGAACACGGGGCTGAGTGGGCGCAAGGCTGGTTCCACTGAGTCCCTGCTCCCCTCCCTGGGAAGGAACTGGACGAACACATGGTGAGAACCTGTGGCTTTATTGATCCCTGGCAGCCGCAGAGACAGTCAGGCCTGGGCACAGAGACCCCCAGGCCAGGGGGTCCCTTGCCCATCCGCAGCCCCCCGCCCCACTCAGAGGGTTTTGGCCTTCCTACGCTGGGTGCCCCACAGCAGCAGGGACACGGATACGGTGGCAGTGCCCAGGATCCCACCGAAGAGCAGCACCGGGAACGTGCCCTGCCCAGGAGCAGCAGTGAGCGGTGCCACCCCACACAGCCCCCCAAAACCCTCACTGATCCATCCGGGGGGCAGTCAGAGAGGGGTCCCATCCCACTGGTGCTCACCTTGCGCAGGCACTTGTAGCCATGGAAGGGGCTTTCGCAGAGGCACTGGACGAGGCCGGGGCCGTCGGGGGCACACACAGAGTTTTCGGGACACGGCCAGGCTGGCAGAGCAGAGCGGGGGGTCACGGGGCCCAGGCAAGACCCCACTGCTGGCCCCAGGCACCCACCACCAGGGTCACAGTATCCCCCCCCCGTACCAAGCTCCATGGAGCCATTGCAGGGGTTCCTCTGGCCCTGGCACCGCCGGCTGCTCTCGTCCACCGTCACTTCCTGCCAGGCGTCACTCCCGCCCGGACACTCCAGCACCGGCGGCACCGCGCTGGGGACAGAGCTCAGCACCAGCCTGCAGGGACCCCCAGCCCGCACCCCCCGGCACTCACAGGAGCTGCAGGTGGGTGAAGCCCAGGAAGGAGTCGTTGGGGAGGGTCGTCAGGGGGTTCTCGGTCAGGTCCCTGTGAAAAGACGGACCTTCAGCCCCGCCTGGGCCCCACAGCCCTGGCCTGGTGGGCACTGGGGTTCCTCCGGACCTTACTGAACCTCAGGTGGTTCCCATACCCCCCCCGTTTTCCCCTCAAGGCCCTGGGGGTGCAGCCCCCTCCACCCCCCAGGGCTCAGAGCTCTTTGCGGAGCTGCCGAGGGAGGGGCTCGGTCACCGACATCATTAACAAAGACCCGGAGCTGGGCCCAGCGGGGTGCCCTGAGCTCGGTACACCCAGCCCTGACAGTGTCCTGGGCGGGGCCGTCCAGCCGAGCCACTCCTTGCCCCCACCTCTCCAGCCTGGGGACTGTGGGAAGAGCCAAGGGCTGACCCTGTGGCCCGTCCCTCACCCGCCAGCACAGCCCCTGCACCCTGGGCAGCCCCGGTGGAGCTGCACTGGCTGTCCCCTGTCACTGCACGCGTGACAGAGCTCCAGCAGGGTCTGTCCCGAGCTCCCACTGGGCACAGGGGTGGTTTCCCTTTTTCCAGGCCCTGGGGACCGTCCCAGACTGCCACCAGGGCAGAGAGCAGCCAGTAGTGTTACCTGGGGTGCTGAGACCAGCAGGGCAGGGCTGTGCTGGGCTGGGGTCCATGGGGGGTCCCACTAAACCCACCCCAGCCCAGCTCCTCGAGGGGGCAGAGAGGGCCCTGGGGGACTCACAGAACGATGGCAGCAGTGGCCTCGGCCAGTTCTGGGGGGACACTCTGCAGGGAGCAGTTGCTCAGGTCCAGCCTGGGAGGGGGCAGCAGTTGGGGGGGACAGTAGTACACCTGGTACCCCCCATACCCCCTCCCATTCCTTCCCCCATGACCCCACTGTGACCCCCAGAACCCACCCTGGCCCCTCTCTTCCCTCCCTCGCCCCCACACTCCCCCGCTGCATGTCCTACGTCCCGGCACCCCCACCCCCGCCATTCCCCTGACCCCCTGGGACCCCAAATACCCACCCCGGCACCTCCCGCCCCCGAGCACCCCCGTCATGTGGCCCCAAACCCCCAGCACTCTCAGAGTCGCTCCCAGCCCGTGTGTCCCCGTCCCCCGTCCCCCGTGCGTCCCCGTCCCCCGTCCTCCCGTCCCCACGTGCGTCCCCGTCGCCCCGTCCCCAGCCCCAGCCGCCCCGGAGAGGGGCCCCGCTCCCGGCAGCAGCGCCCGTCGCTCTCGGTGTCGCGCCGGGACTCACAGAACCGGGACACGATGGAGCCGTTCCGCGGCGGCCCCGGGCAGGTCCCGCACACCTGGAGGGGGTCAGGAGGGCATGGGCAGCGCCGGCACCCGGGGCAGCCCCCGACCCCGGGCATCCCCGGACCCCGGGCACCCTCCAATCCCCGGGCACCGCCGATCCCCGCACAACCCTCGCCCTCGGAGCAACCCCCGACTTCCCCGACCGCCGCACACCTCCAAGGCCGTCACCCCCGGGGCAGCCCCGGCCCCCAGTTCAGCCCCGAGCCCGGGGCGGCCGCGACGCGGGCACCCCGACCGGGCACTCCCTGACCTCTCGGCACCTCCGATCCGGGACATCCTCCGCCCACCCCAGCCTCCCGCTCCCGTGCCCCGTTGCTCACCGCGGCCCCGCGGGCGCTCCGGGCGGCAGCAGCAGCAGCAGCAGCAGCAGCGGCAGCAGCAACAGCGCGACCCCGCCCATGGCGCCGGGCACTGCCCCTCCCCGGGCCGGGCGGCCTCCGGACCCGAGAGGAGCCCCCGCGGAGGGGGCGGCGGGGTCGGCACCGGGACCGGGAGCGCGGCCTCCCACACGGGGCGGGCAGTGACGTCATCAGAGAGCGCGGGGGCCGGGCGGAAGCTGCGCCGATGGCGACCACGCCCTGTTGCGTCATCAGGGCGCGCCCCGCCTGTCAGGCGGCACGTGGGACACGCGCCGCCACCGGTGAGTGTCACACCGGGGCCACGGGACAAGGTCACCGCCCCACCCCGCTCCGCGGGGCTCTGCGGGCACCGGGCGGCGGCACCGGGGGCACCACGGACGGGGAGCACAGCCCCCGGTTAGAGGCACCGCGGACGGGGAGCACAGCCCCCGGTTAGGGGCACCACGGACGGGGAGCACAGCCCCCGGTTAGAGGGACGGGGAGCACAGCCCCCGGTTAGAGGCACCGCGGACGGGGAGCACAGCCCCCGGTTAGAGGGACGGGGAGCACAGCCCCCGGTTAGAGGCACCGCGGACGGGGAGCACAGCCCCCGGTTAGAGGCACCGCGGACGGGGAGCACAGCCCCCGGTTAGAGGCACCGCGGACGGGGAGCAGAACCTGCGCTGCTCTGACTGCGGCACCGGGGCCACCGGGGACAGCGGGGAGCAGAGGCTGGGCTGGGGTGGCTGGTGTGACTGGGGCACCGGGGCCACCGGGAAGCAGAGCGCCCGGTTAGAGGCACCGGGGACAGCGGGGACGGGGAGCAGAACCTGCACTGGGGGCACTGGGGAAGGCAGGCTGGGGCCAGCAGAGAGAGGGCAGCGGGCTCACCGCTCGGGGACACGGGGCACCCCGGGGCTGGGGAAGCGGCGCTGGGAATGCTGAGTTTCGGGGGATCACACCGGGATCGCTGAGGGAAGGGGGCCGCGGGACCGCGGCGGGATCAGTGGGTGCCGGGGACACGCGGAGCGCCGCGGCTCTGGGTCACCGGGTGACGGGGGCGCAGGGGTCACCGGGGCTGGCGGCAGCAGAGCCTCAGGGACACCGAGGGCCCCCGCGGCACGCGAGCCTTGGCCCGGGGCCGGTGGATGCCTCTCGGGACGCGGTGCCCTCGCCCGTGTTTAGTCTGGGCGGGGGAATGCAGGGGGTGACCTTGGACCCTGTCCGGGAGCTGCGCGGGGACGTGTCCCGAGCCGGTGGCGGCGGAGGCGCTGCCCTCTCACCTCCTTCCCCGCCGGGACACCACGGCTCTGCCGCCGCTGACGGCTCCCCGCCCGGCCCCCGGCGGGCAGGCCCGGGCAGGCTGTGCCGGGGTGCCAGGAGGGCTCAACCTAATCCCCCCAGGCATTCCCCAGGCGAGCATTCCAGCGGGGATCACGGTGGGCACAGTGCCACCCCCAGTCCAGCCCTGTCCTCCCTGTGCCCCTAACGCTGCCCCGCCGGGATGGGGGGTCCCCTGCAGCCTGTACCCCGTCCCTGGCCAGGAGGGGGGTCCTCACAGCTGCACCGCCTGCTCCTTGGCACCCGCTGCTCCCAGCTCCCCGCAGTCCCTGTACGCCTGGGGAGGCGGAGGGGGGGTCTCTGCCCGGCCACCTCCTCCTGCTCCACAGCGGGCAGAGCTTGAGGGGCCCCTGGGATCCCCCTGTGAGCGAGGCAGGGGTGTCAGAGCCAGCGACTGCTCAGGTGTTTGCTCCACCTGGCTGGTGCCCAGAGCCCCTCGGGCTGCCAGCCCCGCTCTGTCCATCTGTCCATCCCCAGCCATGTGGGGCGTGTGGTGTGGGGGTCACCCTGCCCAGCCTCTACTCTCTGGAATGAGGGTGTGGGGGCTCCTCCTGCCCCTCCTCGCCGGTGCAGACTCAGCTCTGCTGTGCCCTCCCCCACAGCACTGGCCGATCCTGCTGCGGAGGCTGTGCAGGCTGTGCTGTGCTGTGCTGGCCCTGGAGCACTGGGCGGGGGGTGGGCTGGTGGGTTTTGCAGGCTGTGCTGTGCTGGCCCCGGAGCACTGGGCGGGGGGTGGGCTGGTGGGTTTTGCAGGCTGTGCTGGGCTGTGCTGGCCCCGGAGCACTGGGCGGGGAGTGGGCTGGGCTCTTGCACTGGGGGCAGCTCTACCGGGGCTGGTTGGGCCGGGCTGGGTTTGGGGGGGCTGTTCTGCTCCGGGGGCGGCCGTGCTGGGCTTGGCTCCGGTGGGACCGGCACTGCCACGCTCCGGGCTGTCCTGCTCCCAGGGCAGCAGGGTGGGGTTTGGCTCTGGTGGGACCAGCACTACCAGTATCGGGGCAGTCCTGCTCTGGGAGTGACTGTGTTGGGTTTGGCTCCTGTGGGATCAGAGCTGGCCTGCTCTGGGGGCGGCTCTGTTGGGTTTGGCTCCTGTGGGATCAGAGCTGGCCTGCTCTGGGGGTGACTGTGTTGGGTTTGGCTCCTGTGGGATCAGAGCTGAGATGCTCTGGGGGAGGCCCTGTTGGGTTTGGCTCCTGTGGGATCAGAGCTGACTTGCTCTGGGGGAGGCCCTGTTGGGTTTGGCTGGTTCTGCCGGTGCTGTGGGGGCCGGTGCTGCGGGGGCCTGGGTGCGACTGTTTTCACAGCCATGACCTCAGCGCTCTTTGGAGACGCTTGGGTTCCCCTTGGCGGGGCAGGTGGGGCAGCCCGGGGGTGGCCAAGCCCAGCCCAGAGGGAGGAGAAAGAGGAGGAGGAGAGTCTGACAAAGTCCCCCCCGCACTGGGTCCTTGAGGCCAAGACAGAGCGAGCGAAGGTCCCCGCGGTGCTGACACGTCCCTCCCGCAGCTGCCAGCACCGGGGCGATGCTGGCCAGGACGCACTGCCGGGGCGGCTGCCGGTGCTCGGGGTGCCCATGAGGCCAGCGGGGCACGGGCGGCTGGGCAGTGGCGGCGCCGTCAGGGCGGCGGCGCAGGGACACGCTCACCATGGAATTCACCACCATCGACTACACCATCTTCGTGCTGCTGCTGGTGCTGTCGTCGGCCATCGGGCTGTTCTACGCGCTGAGCGGCGACCGGCAGCGCACGGTGCAGGAGTTCCTGTTGGCCAACCGCGACATGGGCTGCCTGCCTGTCGCCCTGTCCCTGCTGGCCACCTTCCAGTCGGCCGTGGCCATCCTCGGTGTGCCCGCTGAGATCTACCGCTTCGGCACCGAGTACTGGTTCCTCGGCTGCTCCTACTTCCTGGGGCTGCTCATCCCAGCGCACGTCTTCATCCCCGTCTTCTACCGCCTGCGCATCACCAGCACCTACGAGGTGAGCGGGGGGGTGGGGGGGACGCAGGGGACCCCATGGCCAGGTGGGACATTGCCCTGACCCCTCTCCCTGCAGTATCTGGAGCTGCGCTTCAACAAGACGGTGCGAGTGCTCGGCACGGTCACCTTCATCTTCCAGATGGTGAGTGGGGCTGGGGAGTGTGGGGGGCACAAGGGACGTGGGAGCCAGGCACGGTTCAGGACCGCACTCCCCTCCCCACAGGTCATCTACATGGGCGTGGTGCTCTACGCGCCCGCGCTGGCCCTCAATGCAGGTAAGGGAGGACGGGTGGGGGAGATGCCGGGAGCCTGCTTCCCCCCACCCCGCTGATGGCCTCCGCCGCTTCCAGTGACGGGCTTTGACCTCTGGAGCGCAGTACTGACCATGGGGCTGGTCTGCACCCTCTACACTACGCTGGTGAGTCCCTGGGGCTGCGGGTGCCCGTGCTGCTGCCATGCTACGGTGATGGGTGCCGTGACCCTGCAGTGACCCTGTGCCCCCACTGTGATCCTGCCATGACGGGCACGGCGTGTCCTCCAGGGCGGGCTGAAGGCTGTCATCTGGACAGACGTGTTCCAGACGCTGGTGATGCTGGCAGGCCAGCTGGCTGTCATCGTGGTGGGCGCGCAGCGCGTGGGCGGCATGGCCCGCGTCTGGCACGTGGCCGAGCAGGAGGGCAAGATCTCCGGCATCGAGTGAGTGAGCCGCCAGGACCCCCGTGTCACACCGTGGGGACACGTGAGGCAGCCTGGGGTGGGGGAGAGGAACCCCCACTGTGGGGGTCCATCCCTGCTGCCCCTTTTCTTGTGGGGTGCTACTGAGGACCTGTCACTGTGACCTCCTGGTGCTCCCCACAGCCTGGACCCCAATCCCTTGGAGCGCCACACCTTCTGGACCCTGGCCGTGGGGGGGGTGTTCATGATGCTGTCGCTGTACGGGGTGAACCAGGCGCAGGTGCAGCGCTACCTCAGCGCCCGCAGCGAGCGGGAGGCCAAGCTGTGAGTGGGGTCGGGGCTGGGGATCCCCGCGGCCCGGATGGGCCCCCCCTGCCTTCCCCATCTCTGACACCCGCCCGGTGCCTGCAGCTCCTGCTACGCCGTGTTCCCCTGCCAGCAGATCGTGCTCTGCCTCAGCTGCCTCACAGGCCTCGTCATGTTCGTCTATGACCGGGAGCACCCGCTGACCCCACGCCCCGGGTCCTCTGACCAGGTGGGTGCAGACCCCCTCCCCATGTGCCTCCCTGAGCCCCAACACCCACACTGACCCCCTGCCCCAGCTGGTGCTGTTCTTCGTGATGGACGTGCTGCGGGACCTGCCAGGGCTGCCCGGGCTCTTCGTCGCCTGCCTCTTCAGCGGCTGCCTCAGGTGAGCAGGCGGCCCTGGGGCAATGGCCTGGGGGTCCTGGCCCAGTCCCCTCCCACTCCCTCTCCTCCACAGCACCATCTCCTCCGCCTTCAACTCACTGGCCACGGTGACCATGGAGGACCTGGTGCGCCCGCACTTCCCGGGGCTGTCGGAGTCACGAGCCACGCTGCTCTCCAAGCTGATGGGTGAGCAGTTGGGGGGTGGCTGGGGGGGCAGGGGGCTCTCCAGCACCACTGTGACCCCCTGCTCCCCTCCCCAGCTCTCGGTTACGGGCTGCTGTGCCTGGGCATGGCGTACGTGTCCTCCATGCTGGGACCTGTGCTGCAGGTAGGGATGGGGCTGTGGGACCCCCCAGCTCCAGCACCCAGAGGGGGTAAGGGATCCCCAGCTCCGGCACCCCAAACGGGATGAGGGACCCCCAGCTCCAGCACCCCCAGGGCTGTGGGCCCAGCACTGAGGGCTGTGTTCCTGCAGGCGGCCATCAGCATCTTCGGCATGGTGGGGGGACCCCTCCTGGGACTCTTCTGCCTTGGCATGTTCTTCCCCTGCGCCAACCCCACGGTGAGTGTCCTGTCCTCCCACCCGTGAGTGTGTCCCCCCCTCCTGTGAGTGTCCCCAGCCCCACAGGGGTTGGTGGGGAGGTCTGGGTCACTCCAAGCCCGGCTGTCCCCTGTCACAGGGAGCTGCCGTGGGGCTGGTGGCTGGGCTGGCCATGGCCGGCTGGGTGGGCATCGGCAGCATCGTGAGCAGCATGGGGCAGGCTGGGGCGGCCTCCCCCACACAACAGCACAGCACTGCCCACTGTGGGCAACCTCACCACCATCCTGGCTACCACCCTGCTGCCCCCCACGCTGACCCCAAGGTGAGCAGGACGGGGGGCTCGGGGACAAGGGTGTGGGGGTGCTCCTGTGCACAACCCCTGACCCCCTGTCCCCCAGCCCCACAGGGCTGCAGCGATTCTACAGCCTGTCCTACATGTGGTACAGCGCCCACAACTCCACCACGGTCATCGTGGTGGGGGTCCTTGTCAGCCTGCTCACTGGTGAGTGTGGGGCAGTGGGGGGCCGCTATGATCCCCCTGCCCCGCTCAACCCCTCTGCCCCCCAGGCCCCACACCAGCAGCGGCCCTGGACCCCCGCACCATCTCCCCTGTGGTGCCCCGGCTGCTCTGCTGCCTGTCCCCCAAAATCCGGCAGCGGCTCTGCTGTGGCGGGGAAGACCCTGCCCAGGTGAGGAACAGACCCCCAGCACCTTGGGGGGAGGGCGACATGGGGTTGGTGCCCCCCACCCCTGCTGCCCCTGCTGTGCCCCTCCTGCTTCCTGCTCTGTCCCCACAGACCACTGGCCATGCAGACACTACAGAGAAGAGCAACGGGGTGCCCAACGGCCTGGGCCCCCCCGGCTTTGGGCATCAGGAGGAGGAGGAGGAAGGACAGGGGTACATCCGCAGTGCCGTGGCCCCCACCTATGCTGTGCAGGAAACCTCCTTCTGAGCACCCCGGCGTGGGGGTCTTGGCCACCCCCGGCCAGGGGGCTCAAAGCCCCAGTGGGGCACCCACAGACAGTCAGGGAGTGCCAAATAATGGGGTGTGGCGTCCCTGGGAGGGGGCTGGTGGGCTGCCCTCCAGGGGGGCTCTGGGACCATGTCTGGGTGTGTCAGAGCGGTGCACCCCTCCCAGGCCGGGATGCTGCTCAGTGACCCCGGCCCGGCCATGTGCCTTACACACCACTCTGCTCTGGGGGCTGCCTGGACCCCTCGGAGTGCAGAGTGCGCCCCCTGAGCCCCTGTCCCCTGTCTCTGTGTTCAGTGTCCCCCCAATAAACGGTTCTGGAGCACAGGTGTCGGAGGGTCCCCAGGAACTGCCCCCTCCCTGCTGTAACCCTGGACCCCCAGCTCCCCAAGCAGTGGGGTCTCTCCACTGTACTCCAGGGACCCACAGGGCACATGAGCCCCACCTCTCCAAACACTGGGGTATCCCCACTGTCCCCCAAGAGCCCGCAAGTCCTCGTTACCCTGATCAGTGGGAGTCTCACTGTACCCCAAAACCCCTCAAGCAGTGGGAGTCCCCACGGGATCCCATGGGAACACCATCTCCCCAGGCACTGGGGTGTCCCCACTGTCCCCCGCACCACGTGGGGCACATGGCCCCGCCCCTCTTGGCCCCGCCCCCTGTTGGCCCCGCCCCCGTGTGTCGGGGCGGGGCGTAGTGACGTGTCGGCGCGGTGACGTCACGGCGCTGCGATGGCGCCCCGGCGCCCCCCGGAGCTGTACCGGGCGCCGTTCCCGCTCTACACCGTCCGCCTGCACCCGCGCCGGCCGCTCGCCATCACCGCCGGCGGCGGCGGCGCCGCCAAGACCGGCATCCGCAATGGCGTGGTACGGGGGCAGCGCAGACCTTTGGGAAGGGGGTTTGGGGGTGCAGCGTGGGGGTTGGAGGCTCGAGCACTGGGGGGGGTCTGAGGGGCTGGGGGACCCAGGGGTGTGTGAGGGGCAGGTCTGAGCGAGCGGAGGCTGCAGGGTTTGGGGGGGCCTTGACTGAGCCCCCCCCGGCCCGCAGCACTTCCTGCAGCTGGAGCAGATCGGGGGGCAGCTCAGCGCGTCGCTGCTGCACTGCCACGACACCGAGACCCGCGCCACCATGACCATGGCGCTGGCCGGGGACGTGATCGCCGCCGGCCAGGACAACAGCTGCCACATCCTGCGCTTCAGCCTGCAGGAGCCCGAGGGCCCGGGCGCCGCCGGGCGCGACGGTGAGAGCCCGAGTCACCGGGGGCGGCGCGGAGCACCTGCCCTGGGGCCGGGATGATGTGGGGACGGGCGCTGCCCTGGGCTGCCCCCTCATGCCCGCCCTGCGTGCCGGGTGGAGGGCTGGGTGGTGTTTTGGAGATGAGGCATTCTGTGGACACCCCCATGCCCGCCCTGGATCCCCCTTCTCCATGCCTGCCTTGGGTGCTATGGGGAAGGATATGGGGTGCTGGGGGTCTGTAGGGTGGCTTGGGGGTGGGGCACTGCCCTGAACCCCTTCATGACTCTCCTGGACCTGCCTCCCTGTGCCCGCACTGGGTGCCATGGGGAGCTCTGTGGATGGGACACTGCCCTGGAACCCCTCTGTGCCCTGCCTGGACCCCTCCCTGAACCCATCCCAGGTGCTGTGGGAGGGTGTGTGGGGCTGGGGAGTGTTCTGGGGATGGGCACTGCCCTGGACCCACCCCTTCTGTCTGCTCTGGGTGCCGTGGGGCAGAGGCTGTGGGGTGCTTTGGAGATGGGGCTCATCTGTGGACCCCCTCCACAGACCCTGGATCTCCCCCGTGCCTGCCCTGGATGCCGTGGGACAGGGTGTGGGGAGCTGGGGGTCTGTGGGGTGTTTTGGGGATGGGCAGTATCCTGGAACCTCCCTGGATCCCTCCTTGTGCCCACCCTGGGTGCTGTGGGGGCTTTTGGTGTGGGAGCTGCCCTGGACTCCCCCGCGTGTGCCCTGGGTGCCGCGGGGCAGCACGTAGGGTGCTGTGGGGTGGGCACTGCCCCCCATGACCACCCTGCCAGCCCCGTGTCCCGGTCGCAGGCGGGGGGGACAAGGGCGTGCGGCGGCGGCGCGGCCCCGGAGCGGGGGCTGCGGGGGACACGCAGGGCCGGCCCCGCGAGGTGAGGGTGGAGAGCCTGCACCGCGTGCGCACCGACTTCAGCGCCGACGCCCTGCAGAAGGCCGTGCGCTTCAGCAGCGACGGCGCCCTGCTCGCCACCGGCGGGGCCGACGGCTTCCTGCGCCTCTGGGAGGTGGGCACGGAGCGGGCCGCGGTGGGAGGGGGGCCCAGGGGCTGCAGGAGAGTGGAGTTGGGCACGGGGGAGCGAAGGGAGGCACAGGGAACTGGGGCAGGCATGGAAAGCTGGGGGAGCATGGGGGAGCTGAGGGGGGCACAGGTGAAGGGAGGTGGGCACAGGGGGCTGGCACAGGCGTGGGGGAGCGGAGGCCAGCACTGCCGTGCCCGTGGCAGCATGCGTCGGGCAGGGATGTCTGGATCAGCAACAGTTCCCTAGCTGCTTCCCCCCACACCTGGCCGGGGCTGCAGTGGGGCCCAGCCCCTGCCCATCGCCCTTACGGGCTCTGCCCCTGCAGTTCCCCAGCATGAAGAAGATGCTGGAGTTCAAAGCCCACGATGGGGAAATCGAGGACATTGCGCTTGGCCCTGACAACAAGGTGAGTGTCAGGCAGCCCTGTGGCCCCCCGACCCCACAGAAGAACAGCCTCTGACCCCTGTGCTGCGTGTGGCAGGTGGTGACGGCAGGGAGGGACTTCCAGTGCTGTGTGTGGCAGCAGGACCAGCTGGTGACGGGGCTGCGCTGGCACGAGAATCTGCCTGGCATCCCCGACAAGGCCTATCGCTACCAGGCCTGCCGGTGAGGGCTGGGGATGGGGCAGGGAGCTGGGAACGGCCTCCCAGGGCTGGGAATGGGCTGTGGGGTTGGAGATGGGACAGGGAGCTGGGAATGGGCCACCAGTGCTGGGGATGGGTTAGGCCCCCCCGCTGCCTTGAACTGAGCCCTGTCCCAGGTGGGTCTGCAGGGAGGGCTCCCCGGACTCTGCTGCTCTACTGGGGAGGGGGCTGAGTGCCAGGAGAGCTGCAGCCTGTGTCCCCTGTGCCCCATGCCCCCTGTCCCTTGCAGGTTTGGGGCAGTGGAGGACAGTGTCGGGGCGCTGCGGCTCTACACGGTGCAGGTGCCCCACAAGCGGGAGCGCCGTCCCCCTCCCTGCTACCTGACCAAGTGGGATGGGAAGAGCTTCCTGCCACTGCTGACTAGGCCCTGCGGCTCTGAAGTCATCTCCTGCCTCTCCATCAGGTACCCCGGGGCTGGTGGAGGGTGATGGGGTGGCTGGGGCAGCCCCCTCTCACTGCCCTCCCCCCACAGTGATTCAGGCACCTTCCTGGGGCTGGGAACGGTGACGGGCTCTGTGGCCATCCACATCGCCTTCTCGCTGCAGGTGAGCTGGGGTGGGGGTGTGGGGCAGCCCCGGTGCCCCCCAGCCAGCCTCTCACTCCCCTCTCCCCCCCAGAGGCTGTACTACGTGAAGGAGGCCCACGGCATCGTAGTGACCGATGTGGCCTTTGTCCCTGAGAGTCAGCCCGGGCGGGAGCTGCTGGGGGGCCACGAGGCCGCCCTGCTCAGCGTGGCTGTGGACAGTCGCTGCAAGCTGCACCTGCTGCCCACCCGCCGTACGTCCTGGGTCTGCTGGGGTGCTGCCTGGGGGCTGGAGTGCCTCTCCTGCAGCACAGAGGGGCTGCAGCCCCGCTTCACCCCTCTCTGCCTCACAGGCTCCCTGCCGGTCTGGCTGCTCCTGCTGCTCTGCGCCGGGCTCATCGTGGCCACCATCCTGCTGCTGCAGCTTGCCTTCCCGGGCTTCCTGTAGCCCCCCAGCCCCTGGAGGGACCCTTCGGCGCCAGGAGCAACCCCCTGGCCTCGACAGCCCCTCCCCACAGACTGTGAAACAGAAAAGGGACCAGCCCTGACCCCACCCCCCGCTGGTGTTCGGGGAGTGCAGGAGGGTCCGGGGAGCCGCCCGGGGCCTGGCCCGCTGGGACTGTGCTGGCAGCGGTGCGGGGCTGGCCCTGGGACAGGGGGCCTGCCCGACACGGGGGTCCCCTGCCCCAGAAGGAGGGCGTCCTGCTGGCCCCCCATCCCATTATGGCCATTAAACTGGAGCATGAAGGCAGCGCTGTGTCTGTCCTGGGGGTGTGGGGCTGGGCTGGGCGTGTCGCAGTGGTCACTGTCCAGGAGAGTGTGTGCCTTCGAGGGGGGGGGTCCCTTGCTATGCCCTCAGGGGGCCTTCCCAGAGCCCCCCACAGTGAGCAGGTACCGGCACTGGCTGACCCAGGCCCTCAGTGGTGCTGGTGCAGGGGTCCAGATGTCGATGCTGGGCTGGCCCGGCTGTACCTGGGGCCGTGGGGGATTTAGGGGAGGGTCTCACCCACCGGGACGGCCCCACCCCTGCCGTGATCACGCCCGCACTTTGCGGCTCCACCCGTCCCTGGCCCCGGTTGAGAAGCGCTGGATTCCAGTTGCTCCCGGAGCTGCACCGGGACATCCCGCGTGGGGCCGAACCCCCCCGGGAAGGGCAGGGCAGTGCCCGGGGCGGGCGGAGCCGCTCCTGGGACCGGTGGCGGGGCCGGGACGTGGCGGCTACGTGGCCCTGGGGTGGGGCGGGCGGCACCGAGACGCGAGCGGGGCTGGGTGAGTGGGCACGGTGGGCGCCGGGCTGGGAGCGTTGAGGAGCGCGCACAGGGTGAGCAGCGCCAGCCGGTCCCACGCGTGCCGCTGTCCTGCGCACCCTCCCGTCCGTGCCAGCGTGTCCCCGCCGCGCTGGGACCGGGGCAGCTCCCGGAGCCCCCGCCCCTCTCCTTCAGCCGGCTTCCCACGGCCCCGGGCCCCCGACACGCCCAGGGGCACCCTCGACCCCGCCACTCGTTCCGCTACAGCCCGAGGTCGCGGGATGAGGAACCCACCGGTGACACTGACCCTGCTGCTGCTGCTGCTGCTGGAGCCGGCGGCACGGGCCGCCCCCAGGGCAGGGGCGCACAGGTAGGGGGGTAGAGGTATGACGGACAGGGGTGGGGGGCACAGACATGGAGGGTACAGGTGTTGACGGTATGGATATGGGGGTACAGGTGTGGGGGCACAGGTATGGAGGGTACAGGTATGAGGTACGGGAGAGGGACACAGGTGGAAGGTAGAGGAATGGGGGACATAATTAAGGGCAGGCAGAGATGTGAGGGTTCATGTGGGTGTGGGGGCACAAGTGCGGGTGGGGTGCATGGGAGCCGATGGGCACCTGGGCAGGAGGGGGGCACAGGTATAGAGGGGGCACATGGCTGTGGGTGGGCACTGGGGCCTGGGGGTGCACAGTGAGGGGTGGAACTAAGGGGGCTGTGGGGGCCATGGATGGGGGGATGTCAGGCCAGCACAGGCAGCCCCCCCAGGGGCACAGGTGACCCCCCCATCTCCTGGCCAGGCCTGAACCCCCCCCGACCACAATCCCGGAAGCGTATCCCGATCCGCTGAGCCCAGAGTCGCTGCCGCTGCCGTGAGTGCCTGCCCTGGAGAGCCCCACGACACTGGGACCCCCACCCCGGCCGGGGCTGTGCGCTGGGGGAACAGCAATGGGTGGGGGGCCCGGGCAGTGCCTGGCTGCTCGTGGGACAGGGTGGGCTGTGGGGCAGGGGCAGTGTTGCCCACCCCCAGCCCCGCTCCCCCCAGGCTGCTGCGGGGCGCGGTGCGGAGCCTGGGGCTGCCGGAGCAGGATGTGGAGGCCATGCCATGGGAGCAGGGTGAGGCCATGTGGCGTGATGGGGGACTGAGGGGCTGGTGGGGTCAGGGACCCCAACCCCACAGTGCCTCTGTGCCCCACAGCCCTGCTTTACCTCATCGTGCTCCATGACCATGACCGGAGTGGGCACCTGGACGGGCTGGAGCTGCTGCAGCTGCTGGGCACTGTGCTGGCACAGGCCGGGGGACGGCCAGACCCTGACATGGTGGGTCCCAGAGGTATGGTCCCTTGAGCCCCCAGAGCCCCGAGGCTGGGCCCTCACCCCCATCCCCTGTCCCTGCAGATGGCTGCTCTGGTGGACCGAGCCCTGGTAAGGCAGGACCGCAATGGGGATGGGCTGCTGGACCCTCACGAGCTGCTGTCACCTGACTGGGGTCAGGGACCCCCAGGGCAGCCCCCCCTGGAGCCACAAACAGGGGCTGGGGCTGTGCCTGAGGAGGGCACAGAGATGCTCAGGGGGCACCTGGGGGTGAGTGGCCCAGGGCAGGCTGTCCCTGAGACTGGAGCCACCCAGGCTGGAGCCCCTGAGGATGGAGGCACGGAGGGGGACGAAGCCCCCAAGGTGGAATCCCCCAGCGCTGAGGCTGTGGAGGCAGAAGAAGCCCCCAAGGCTGAAGCCCACAATAGTGACACCTCTGAGGAAGAGGAAACCCCTGAAGCTGAAGCCCTAGAGGGGGACGAAGCCCCCAAGGTGGAATCCCCCAATGCTGAGGCTGTGGAGGCAGAAGAAGCCCCCGAGGCTGAAGCCCACAATAGTGACGCCTCTGAGGAAGAGGAAACCTCTGAAGCTGAAGCCCTGGAGGGGGAGGAAGCCCCAGCATGGAGGGATTCTGAGGAGGGGTAGATGGTGGGGGCTGTGGGAAGGGCTGAGTGGGGCAATGCTCTAGCTGCTTCCTGACCTGCTCAGGGCACAGAGTGAAGGGGAGTCCCTGTGCCCCCTACCCTGCATCCAGGCTGGGGGGCTGGGACACTGTGGTCATGTGGTCTCCCCTGTAACGCATTGGACAGAGAAATAGAGGCTGCCGGTGGCCTTGGCCGTTGTCAGTGCACCCCTGTGGCAGTGGGACCCCAGCCAGGGCAGGGGGGGCATAGCTGGTGTGGGGCATGTGGAGATTTATTGGGGGAGGTGCTGGGTCCAATGGAGACGTGGTGTTCCTGGGGGGTGAGGGGTTCTCCAGGCGCAGGCTCAGACGATGCCATCGAAGCCCTGGATCCCACATTTCCTGCCTGCGATCTGGCAGCCAAAGGTGAGGGCATCCTGCAGGGTCCTCCCTGGGGACGGGGCCCAGGATGAGATGTGGCCACGCTGTGTCTCCAGCGCAGCTGTGCCATGGCCATGCCAGGCAGAGCCACAGCCATGCTGTGCCCGTGCTGTGTCTGTGCCCACCTTCTGCGAGCGCAAAGATGACAGCGGCGTTGAAGGTGTCCCCAGCCCCCAGCGTGTCCACGAGGGTCTCTGGGGGGAAGGCGTCTGAGTGCACCAGCTCCCCATCAGGTCCTATGGCATCGGCTCCCTTCTCGGCCCAGGCGCAGATCAGTGTGGCCCTGGGGGGGTGTGGGGTGGGTGTGGGGCTCCCCGTGCAACCCCAGCCCTCCCGACCCCCCGTGCACCCCCCCTACCCTGACTGGATGCGCCCCCGCAGCCCCTGCAACGCCTCAGAGGCCGAGCGGTACCCAAAGTGCTGGGCCAGGTCCTTGCTGATGAACACCTGCACAAGAGGGGCTGGGGCGGGGGGCAGCCCCCGGCTCCCCCAGCCAGGAAGTGATGGACCTGCACCCCAGCGGTGCCCCAGGACCCCAATCACACCCCCAGATCCCGACCAAACCCCAATCACACCCCCAGATCCCTTACACCCTTACACAGACTCTGACTCTGCTCCCCAGACTCGACTGCTCCCCAGGCCCTGACCCCCAGACCCCAGCCCTGCACCCCTCGAGCCCAGACCACGCCCCCAGCTCCCCTGACCCCGCCCATCAGCTGTAAGCCCCACCCCCTGACCAGACCCCCTTGGCCCGGCCCCGCACCGCACCGCACCACTTCGCCTCGTCCCATCAGCGGCAGCAGCTCCTCCCGGGGCTTCTCCAGCTCCACCGAGATCCGGACCCGCTGTCCCGGTGCCGCCGCCCGGTTGTGCCGCTCCACCCGCTCCAGCATCGCCCCCTGCTCCGCCGCGTTCCGGGCCTGCGGGCACGAGCATGGCTCCGCCACCGCCGGGGGGTCGCCAGCCCCGGGCGGGCCTCCAGTCCCGGGATGCTCCGTCCTCTTGGGATGCTCCCCAGCCCGAGGGGTCCCCCCAGCCCCGGGCTCACCCACAGTCCAAGGGATCCCCCTCCATCCCCGTAGGTCCCTCTATCCTCAAGGATCCCCACAGCCCCGCGCTCACCTCGAAGTGGACCCACTTGTACTGGGAGAGGTCGACCCGCTCGAAGTCGCGGGCCGTCACATCAGGCAGGTTCCTGCGGGACGGACGCCAGGTGGGGCGGGGGCCCCCAGCCTGGCACGCGGCCGGGGCCGAAGGGCAGTGACAGGGGCTGTGCAGGGCCCCACACTGCCGGGACAGAGGTCCCGGGGGTGGCACTGCCCGGGTGAATTATTAATTATGGCGTTTGGGACCCTGAGCTCGACTTGAAGGGCAGCGCAGCGGTGGCCAGGCTGGGGCCGCGGTTCAGCGATGCCCAATAGACTCTGACCCTCCGGCACGGCCGAGGGAGCACCGGTCCGGTACCGGGCAGGTGCCATGGCTGTGCCAGATGTCCCCATGGGGCCGTGCCGGCTGCCCCGCGCCTCAGAACGTGTAGCTGTGTGGGGATGTCACCGCCAATGCCGGCGGCGGCGCAGGTGGTGAACGGGGGGCTGCGGGAACCACTGGCAGGACTACAGGGAGTCAGAACCCCGTGTGTAACCCCGAGCTGGCACAGCCCGGCGCTGCCCGCAGGGGCCGGGCCCTTACGTGTCGTGCAGGACGATGGTGCGGGAGCCGCTGGAGGCGTTGACGAGACAGCAGGCGCAGGGCACGTCCCCGCGGGGCTGCCAGGCAACGTGCGCCGTGTCCACCCCTCGGCGCTGGAAATCTGCCGCGATGAAGCTTCGGGGGACAGAGAGCGGGGTGAGGGGCCCGCACACCCCCGAGAGGGGCGGGACGGTGTGCGTGTCCCGGCGGGCGCCAGTGGTGACGGCAGGGGCAGGCGGGCAGCAGAGGGACCGCGGCAACGGCATCGCGCCGCGGGTCGAGGCTGCCGGTGGAGTAACACGGAGAGGCCGGTGGAGTATCAGGGCGGGTCTGCCCCGTGCCCAGTGCTGGGGGGGTCCCCGCACCCCACTTACTCGGCGGCGGGGCCGGGGGCCAGCGAGCCCATGAAGGCGCAGGGGGCTCCCAGCAGCGCAAGCACCGTGCAGGAGTTGGAGGCGTTCCCGCCCCGCTGCCACCGCTGCGACACACACCTGCGGGGGGCGGGAGGCTGCGGTGGGCGCGGGGCCGGTTTGGGGGGCACCGGCGGAGCCCCCCGCCGTTGGCGGTACCTGGTGTCGGAGTCCTCGGCCGGGAAAGTCTCCACCACGCTGATGATGTCCAGGCACACCAGCCCCACGCACAGGATCCGCCGCTCGCCCGCGGCTCCGCCCGCTCCCGCCGCCATCCCGGACCGCTGCGGGGTGGGACTGGGAGCGGGAACGGGATCGGGGTCGGGATCGGGACCAGGACCGGGCTCAGCCTCGGGACCCCCGGCCACGCCCCATCGGAGCGCCGCCAATCAGCGCCCGCCGCCGCGCCGGGCCCGCGGTGGGCGGGGTGAGATGTGGGCGTGGTCATACGGACCACGCCCCTGTTACGCCCCGCCCCGCGCGCACATAACGGGCGGGAAGGGAGGGACACACGGACACGGACACACGGGCACAGACACAGACACACGGACACGGAGACGGACACACGGACACAGACACACGGGCACAGACACAGACACACGGACACAGACACACGGACACGCGGACACGGAGACGGACACACGGACACGGAGACGGACACACGGACACAGGCACACACAGACAAACGTATCAAGACACAGATGCGCGTGCCCCCGGACACACGGACAGGGGCACACAAACCTCACGCTGACACACGGACAGGGACAAACGGACATGGACACACAGACACGGCAACTGAGGAGTACATTCAGTGGTGGCACCTCGGGGGCAGCTGCAGGCTGAGCTCTGCGTGGCAGCCCCTGGTGACGGACTGGGACCTGCCACCCTTCGCACAACGAAGGGCCCAGGAGGGACCTGTGGCCCGGCCAGGTGAGGGGCACCTGGGGACAGCAGGAGCCGAGGATTCCAGACTTCCCTGTGCTCAGACTGTGAGGAGATAAATGCTCAGGGGTTCCTTTGTTCGGGGTCCCTCCTTGGAGGCACCAGCTCGAGCTGTTATTTTTTTACTTAGTTACTGCATCAAGATTAAATCATTTTAAAGATTGAGACGTCTGAGGCTCTGCGATGGGAAACCCGGGACTGAGCTGGTGAGGGGAACTGGTCTGACTGGGGCAGTGTGGGGGGTGCAGCTGTGAAGGGGTCTTGGTCCTAGCTCAGGTGGTGCAGGTGTGGCTGCTGGAGCAGCTCCTGGATGGTTGGACAGGAAGTTTCTTTAACAGTTTGGCCCCAGGCCACCCCCTTTGGAGCCTCCCTGCTCCAAACCCCCCCAACCTGCTGGCACCGGGTGAGCTCACCGGGATCTTTGGAGCAGGGAGGAGCCAAAGAGAACATTAAAATTGCCTGAGCAGATTCAATGTCAATGATCAGGCTCTGTTATTAAATCACTCCAGTTCTCTCAGTCTCTCCACGGGTACAGCATTTTGTGCAGTCGGGGGAGTCCCTGCAGTGGATCAAGTGTGGGACCATGGCCTGAGTAGCATGAGGGGAAATGGGGGGTTTGGGGGCTCGCCAAATATGTGGGGGGTTGGGATCCCTCGTAAGCCACGCAGGGAGGTGAAGTTAATGGGGGGTTATGACTATTTCTAGCACATCCAGCACAGTAAAGGGGACGCTCTTGGCCAAGGTTTTGGAATTGGGAACATTGTGGGGATGATTTGAGGCTTCACTGGCCCTTGGAGAGAGAGAAAAGATTGATGGGAGAGTTGAAGCATTTGAGGAGATTAACAGGGAAACTGTTTAAAACCCTGGGCTTTATGTGTGCTACAGACAGTGTTTAATGTCTGGTGATTCCCTCCGGGCACTTCAAGAGTTTCTTTCGCAGCCAAGAGCCAGCTGGTGCCCAGGCACCGTCCCTGGAGCACAGACACCCAGGGAAGGAGTTGGGCACTTGAGGTCGCTGTTGTGTGCGCACGGGATCTCCCCAAAAAGAGGGATCCAGGGATATCTGCATCCAGAGGCACCTCAGCTCCAGCCCGTGCTGTTTGTACCTGTTTGAGGGGGTTGTTGGGGCGCGAAGCTGAAATCCCACACCGGGAGCAGGTTCTCCAGAGGGTGAACGTCAGCTGAGAGGCTGCTTTAGTTCTCTGTGTGTGTGTGTGAGATCCCTGGGCTTGTATTGGTGGTAACTCTCTGTGTGTTTCTAAAAAAACATTTCTAGAAGCACATCTCTCTACGTGCACATTGCTATTGGTAAGTGGATGGGGAAGAATGCAAAAGAACGAGTAGAAGTGTTGTGGTTGTTCTCAAGGAAAGGCTGTGTTCTGTCTGTAACTGGAGGCTTCCCCTGGGCCTGGCTTGCTGCTTGGGCACAGCAGGAGGAGACTGTTTGACTTTTCACTTTAATGTTATTTATATTAAGTAACATTAGGTATAAATATTTATATTACACAGTTTCATTTCCTTCTAGGAGGACGATCTGCAGAGTCCTGCCCAAGCAGGAGAGGGTTTGTGGTGCCTGATGATTTGTACAGCCCCTCTGGGGAGAGGGGAAGGAAAAGGCTTTAGCCACTTTAAAAAAAAAAAAAAAAAAGAGACAGAATAGTTTTAAAGCTCTGTTGTGGTTTTGCAGAGGTTGAGGGTTCAGCCCCTTTGATCTGCAGAGAATTTTGA